CTGCCAAAACTCCAGAAGGTTCAGTAAGTTCTGTCTTCTTCCACGTCCCCCCGAGTCTAAAGCCACGTTTTTCATTCCACAAATAGAAGTGTCTGTAGCTACTGGGAGAGGGTGAAGGGATCATGGTAAGGTTTGTCTGTTGCATGTGCATGTGCGTGTGTGTATGTGTGTTCACGTATATGCTGGGTGTGGTAATGCACCCCTTTAATCCCAGCACTTGAGAAGTAGATGGATCTCTGTGAGTTTGAGGAAAGCCTGGTCTACATGGCTAGTTCCAGATCAACCAGAGTTACCCAGTAGGACCCTGTCTGAAACAAAACAAATAAAACAAAACAAAGACTAGGACCAAAGGATGGTAAAGTATCACACTCTCCAAAGCTTTTAACTGTAAGAAAAAAAAGTCAGCTCCATGCTTTGAAAAGATATTTATTAAGAACTGCTTGGTTATGACACCCAAGGAAAATAAAAGCAAATTCCATGAGACAGGTACATGAGAGCTACAGCAAAGTCTTCGTTAACATTTACAAAAACCGTCAAATAAAGAAGCAGAAAGCAAAATACCACCAGAGAGCAAGCACAGTAGTAAATTCTCTGTAGACCTAGCTCCGGCAACACCAGCCACAGGCTCAGTGTTGAGACAGTTACATGAACAAGTGTTCTACTACACTGAGCCAACTGCCCTGAAAGCAAAAAAAAGAATAAACGTTTTTGTGGTTTGAGTCAGATATGTGATTGAATTTTAAGATCATGGAAATCTTTCCAACTCTTTTTCCCCAATACTTTCTCTGCAGCTGGGGAGCGGAGAGGAGGAATCTAGAGAGAACATTTGTTAATATTTTAGCAGAACTCGCTGATCATCTCCATGAGACATATTTTCTGAGAGTACCTATTATTGCCAGTTTTGAAGATCATTATTAGTCCTTTGAGGAAAAATATGTACAGTGAAAGAGATGAGGGAGCATAAATTAATTGAAATCCCAGCAAGTAGCCAAATAATTAGGAGAGGCAGAAAGAAGAGCTTTTTCTTAGGGTGGTGATACCGTCCGCCTGACTGCTGTCCTCCAGCAGCCTACAGTAGCTTGAGTCTCGAAGGAAAACCACGAAACTAAGCCCCATCCTCCTCCTCATCTGCTTCACATTAGATCATTGTCAGGAACTGGCCAGATTCATGGAATGTGAATTAGTAAGTGGCACGAGCTTAAAACTGTGAGTTTCTGGCTTTAGCACATTACTTTCTGTTGATTTTGAGTAGTGTTTTTTGTCTGCTAAAAACAAAACAAAACAAGCCAGGTGTGGTGGCGCACGCCTTTAATCCCAGCACTCGGGAGGCAGAGGCAGGCAGATCTCTGTGAGTTCAAGGCCAGCCTGGTCTACATAGTGAGTTCCAGGACAGCTGGGACTACAGGGAGACCCTGTCTCAAAAAGAACAACAACAAAAAAATTATATTTTCAATTCACTGAACCGACGCTATTATTGATCACCTATGTGACTTACAATTGTACGAGGCAGCTACTCTCACGGTTTAAATTGCAAAGACATTGCAGGCGACTCATTAGCTCACACCATATTAGACACAGTTTATCTTTAAGGTATTATCTCTGTCTTTTAATGACATTATTTACATTAGATACAGTGTTTCTGAAAACAGAACAACTCTATTCTATTCGCTTACACATTGTGACCAGAATACTTTATATATGTAAATACATGTTTTAAAGAAGTACATGCTGTTTTTTAAAAGACAATAGAGTTTTGTTAGGCACCAATCTTGCAGAAAATCTCAGCTTTGCTTTTTAATATGAAATTCAAGTATATGGATAAATTTTAAAATGAGCTAAAACTGTTTATGTTGAACTGAAAATTGAAAATTGTAAGGATCTTAGATGCTTACCAAAAGAATTTGCATGAAAAAACAGGAATGTGAAGTCAAAGCTCATCCTGACAGCCTCCACTACAGTTTAAAAGATGATATGGCTTTCTTGGTGTAGACAGAAACATTAAAAATGTTTCTAAATTTCTTTATCACAAGATTTTCAGCTTTGCTATTTGTATATTCTTTAAGACAGCATCTCACTCTGTATCCCAAGCTGTCATAAAACCGACCAGATAAACCAGGCAATCCTTGAACTCGTGGTAATCCTCCTGCCTCAGCTTCCTGAGTGCTGGGATTACAGGATGCACCACCTCACCCAGTTAGAATGCTATTGTAAAAATAGCTGGTGGTCATGACTGTATAAAGTGATTATTTAGCTCCTGCTCACATAACAGCTACTTCCTAAAATGAAACCCCTAACCCTTGACTCTGAGGTATCAGGTTGGACAGAAACCTGACTGCTGGGTAACCAGGAAAATGGAACTCAGGCTTCTTTCCTTTCCCCCATGTTTGTGAGGAATACTTTCAGTGTGATTCCTGCTAGCAGACATTAACTTTGTCTATAAATATTACTGGTTCGTGTAGTAGCAACCCAGTTCAAATCTTCTTGGAGCCCAGTATACATCATCACAGTAGACTGAATTACCCATTGAAGTCCCAGGGTGGGAACATTTGATACAGTGACCACTGGAGATGTTTGCTTCATAATTCAAAGTTCTTTATACTTTACCTACTGCGACACAGCACACCAATGACTGTGAGCTCGCTAAGAACAAACAACAAAATCTTTGGCTCATTAATTTCCAGAAGTTTGGGTATATACGAATGTTGTGAGATAACAGACTTTCAGAAACAATTTTCTTCAGAGTAATTTCTTTTCGCCTGGTCTTAATACAGGGAGTGTAATAACATAAAAAAAACTTGCAGACAATAAAAAAGCAATGATTTGAAAGGATAAATTAAAAATCCCTTTATCTAAACACATCCTTTTAGTTCCCAGATTAACCCAGGGGAGACAGTTGTGGGTCTTGCTCTGTAAACTATTCCCTGGAAGTGAATTCAAGACTACTGACATAAACTCACAAGAGAGGGGGGCTGGTAAAGAGATTAAGCAAATAATTAGAAAATGGGCTTGTTTTTCTAAAAAAAAAATTGATTACATGATAGAGATTAAGCTTTTCTTAAGAAAAAAAAAAGCTTGTTTCCTCTGAAGTGTAATATATTTATAAGCAAAACTCTAAAGCTGAAATCCCTCCTTTGTAACATACTAAGCACTATCTAGGAGACCGATGCTGGATGAGCTAATTAATATCTCACAGACCTGAATGTATCAGTATGTTTGGTGATGCCCTCTTAAGAAAATGATGAACAAACAGTCTGCTGAAGCTGCTTACTTAGGCCGAGTTGATGGTCGAGTTTGGGTGTCCAAATGGATTTCAGAAATATTTCTCTAGAGAAGTAATTCTAATTCTAATTATGTTTTTGTTTCCAAAGTAAATAGGCAATCCATTACTTCAGTGTGATGATCTTTCCTTTGCAGTAAGTAAAGAACATGGCAGTAACTTCCTCAAAGGCTAACCCAGTCTAGGAGCTGCTTACACAACAGCAGTGTGCAGAATTGTGAATCGATCATCTTGAAATGACAGGTTTGGCATGCAGGGTCCAATATATGGGGAACAGTGTCAATATAAATGCAAACGTTAGCTTTGTTGCCAACACGTACAGTGTTTGTTGGACAGTATACTCATTCATAATTACGACTAAGAGGGAACTAGAAATCCAGCGAGCTTGTCTACCAGGTAAGTAATAGGGTCTAAACAGCAATACTAATTTGGAGATTGGGCATGGCAGAGAAAAGATGAAATAAAATGATCATAAAAATATTAAAGTTTTGAATATCAGTAAGCAGAAGCATTTGGAGGGTTCTGGGCCTGCCTTCATCATTTGAAAAATCTCCATGTTCATTGGGTTTCCTATAAGCTAGATAGAATAAGTTATAATTATTACGTTATTCACAAATCAAGGCCTTAGGACTGACTTACATGTTTTGGTTAGACCTAATAAGGCAGTTTGTGATTACCTATGGTTTTTATAAAATTTCATTTCCTTACTATTAATGCATGCAATTTAGTTTAGTTTAAAATGTCTAACTTTATTTTAAAGTGTATCTTATATGTTCATGCATTCCATTCTGTCCCCAACATGAAGAACAGAGCATGTCAGTGTGACTTGGGAATGTATGACTCTAAAATTCTGCTTTATCGACTGCTATATTAATGCACTAGTAAAAACACTTCCAGGACTAGGTGCTTATTTTAAACATGTTAGATGAGATTAATGATAATTTTGCAAGAGCTTTAGTGTCCTTATTCAATACGGTAACCTCTAGCCACATTTGTCTGATGAACATCTGAAATGTACCTACGGCAACTGAACAACTGAGTTATTTATTTTAATTAACTTTGAGTTTTAAAAAACTTGCTGTTTAAGTAATTTACTTAAAATTTTTGAGTATTCTCATGCAATTTAAGCTGTTGATTCTACTTTTACAACCAAATTAAATGTACCACATTTTACTGATGAAACTGAACATCCAAATTAAAATGGGCTGAAAGTATATAAAACATGATGGATTCAAAGACTTACTGTGGGGGCAAAAAAAAAAGCATGGAGATTTCTCATTAACGATCTTCATATTGATTACTCATTTGCCTTGACTTAATGATTCTGTTGGGCCTCTACAGCTTTGTGAAGATTGCTGTCCTTTAGTCATGTTTTAAAATTTTGCTTGTAATGTCATCCTTTGAATTAAATAATTTTGATCAGAAGGAGAAAAGCAACTCAGATGTAGTGTTTTCCCACAAAAGGGCCCCGATTGCCCACCTGCTTCCTCCTTTTCTCTGAGGGGCAAAGCTCTCGGTAGCACCAGCTCCGAGATGCAAAATCATAGGCATGAATGTGCAGGAATAGCGAGTGAGAGCTCTTATGAGGTGTGATCAAATCAAACTGTGCAAGCCCTATGGATTCTGTCTTTACTTTCCCCCAATTTTTCCCAGATCCGTGACTCCCTAATTCCAAAACTGACTTTCAGCTTCCTCTCAAGTTCTTCTGCTATGGCTTCCGATATGGAGTAATAAGCGATGATGATGCACGGCAGAGTGTGCCGGTCATGTGTTGATGCTCGACTTTGTCCAGGCCCGCGAACTTTCATCCCTCAGAGTGGAGAGCTTTCTCTGGGAGAAGGATTCGAATCCCAGAAGTTTGAACACCGCCACCCGGTACTTTTTGGACATGATGTTGTACAGAATGGGATTGATGGCAGCGCTGAGGTAGAAGAGGACAAACGATACAAGGTTGCAGTACTGGCTGATCTGAGCAATCTCCAGGGAGCCAGGCTCAAAGGACTTGGAAAACAGATATCTTCCCACGTGGAAGGGCAGCCAGCAGAGGATGAAAGCGAACACCACAACAGCTGGAGAGACAGAGCAAGAGAGACCATCAGTGCAAGGACTATCACAGCAAACCACTTTCCATTTTTAAGAGTTGGTTTTGTTTTGACAATGTGTGGCATGCCACTGAGAAACATCATGTCCTGCTTCTGACATGGAGAAACGCGATGTTCTGGTCTTCACATAAACACACTGCTCTGCTCTTCCCATTCTGACATTTTATCACAGATTGAGACTGTCTAAACCAATAGCTAAACAATGTTGACTGAGCTTTCCAATCATTTCTACTCGATAACTACTTGATGTTGTGATGAGTTGACACACTGACTTAATTAGCCAATTTATTCATGCTTAGCCACCATTTAAAATGCATTAGATACAACACAAATATAAATGAGGTAAGGTGCTTGTACTCGACCACAGCAGTAGGTCAGAACTCCCAGGAGCATGTCTTCCCCTCTGTGCTATGTGTAAAATCCCTGGCCTTGTATGTGTCCAGCAAGCACTCCACCACTGACCTATAGCCTCAGCCCCTCTTGGGGCACTTTTAAGAAATGTAAATTCCTTGACTATAACACAGACCCATTAAATTAAAACATCTAGGAGGAAAACTGAGGCACCTATTCTTTCTTTTCTTTTCTTTTCTTTTTTTTTTTTTTTAAGACAGGGCTTTGTTATGTTTCATGGGCCACTGTACTCAGATTTTAAGGTTTTACAGAGGGTTGACTATGTAGTTGGGATCAGTAAACACCAAGGAAACAATTCTATGCCACTTACGAGAAACATAACGAAGGCTCCAGAGAACACTAAACCCACCCAATAATTACCATCCAAACCTTCATTTTACACCTGTAAGATTACACTTTTCAAGAAGTCTAAATTTTTAGATTAAGCTTTTAAAATTCAGAAACTAGAGAGAAAATAGAGTTTTGGTACCTGAACCACTTTAATGACCACCTTCAAATTGTTGTGGAAGAAAATAGTTGCCCCTGGCATTGAGATGCTTACAAAACTGGGGTCACCTCTTGGAAGGAAGCTGCATGGGAGCAGCTTGTATGCCAAGATGTGGCCCCCTGGGGACTGAGAACCAACTCAGATTCCCCTGGAGGACACAGCAGCCTTACACTCCACACATCCTGACACTGCTCTAAAAAGCAAACTCTGACAGTTCTTGTACAAACTATCACTTTGATATATAGGACTTGGGACTCATAAAATTATAAACATGATATCATCCTGGGAAAACTTCTAAGAAGTATCAAATATGCCAGTAAACATGAAGTGCTGATTATAATGTCCAAATAGTATGATATGCAGCCTCTGGTCTTGAAAAGTGAGAATGAATATTTCGTTTGGATATAAACACAGTCTATGATTGCACTGCACCAAGCGTGGGTCTTTAAGGAAGCTGGATTCATACATTACCTGTTAAGCACACCCCAGCTGTGACACTGCACCCAGATGTTCCTGAAGGGCTATTTGGGGAGAGGTAAGTCCTCTAGACTGCCACAAAATAGAACCTAGCTTCTCCTCCCCTACCCTGGCTTGTGCTTTCTGGAGATACGCGTACTCATGAAAACAATCAAAGGACTCCAGCACCAATTTTCAGTGACTCCCTTATAAAGCCATATAAACAGCAGAATAAATGAAGTTTATGTGCTTATCTGAAAAAGATGCAGGGTGGAAACCAAATCTTTATTATGTAAAAAAGAAAACACAAACCATCTTCAACAGAATGATCCAAATTGACTGTATTTTGGTTAAATTTACTACTGAATGCTTTCTAGATCTAGTGCCTGCTTGCCTTAATGTGACTTTGATAATGACAAATTCTACTTGAAGCAGGAAGGCGAATTTTACCTTTAACACCTAGATATAGCAATGAACTGTTAAGACAGATCTCAGTTTTGAAGCAGATTTCTGAACTAATAACTCATTTTAGGGAAAGTATAAATGTGAGGTGGTTTTCATGGAGAAGGGAAGAAAGATACTGGCAGAAAGGAGACAGAAAGGAGTCAGACCGAAAGTCAAGGGGGGTGAATATGAATTGAGAGACAAACGGAGAGACAGAGACCAAGAGAAACAAGAAACTAGTAGGGGAATAGAGGCTGCTGGAGAAGGCGGAGGCACCCGAGGCAGAGAGCGCCAGCGTGCGCGACTCACCGAGCATCTTCACGGTTTGCTTATGATTCTGGTCCCTGAGCGAGGCGCCCACCGCCGCATCCCCGCGCCTCCGCCACAGCTTCCTCCCGATGAGGCTGTAGAGCACGGTGAGGCAGAAGACAGGCAGGAAGAAGAAGACGCTGGACACCCACACCATGACGGTGAGCAGCCCGGAGCGCACCGCGAACTCGGTGGCGCGGCACTCGTTGGTGTCCCTCGGGTCGGTTCCGTTCTCGTGCTCCACGCCCACCAGCACAAAGATGGGCCCCGCGCTGCAGAAGGCCACAGCCCAGATGACCAGGATGACCAGCTTCACGCGGCCCTTGGTGACCACCACCTTGGCCCGCAGCGGGAAGCAGATGGCGAAGTAGCGCTCGACGCTCAGCGCGGTGATGGTCAGCACCGTGGCGTAGGTGCAGCTCTCGCTGACAAACTGGAAGAGTTTGCAGAGCAGGTCGCCGAAGTTCCAGGGCCGGTACTGCCAGAGGCGGACGAGGTCCAGGGGCATGCACAGGAAGATGAGCAGGTCTGAGAAGGCCATGCTGGACAGGTAGAGGTTGGTAGTGGTGCGCAGCTCGCGGAAGCGGGACACCACCAGCATAGTCAGCAGGTTGCCGGAGATGCCCACCACGAAGAGCGCCACGCAGGTGGCCGTGACCCCCGCCAGCAGCGGCGCGGGGAACAGCGGCAGCAGCTCATCCGCCAGAGAGTCGTTGTCGGGGGTAGCATCCCAATCCAGGTCGGTCAGCGTGCCGTTGGGCTCCAGGTCCTCGCTGGGCGTCGCGTTCCACATGCTGCCCAGGTTGGGGTGGTGATGGCGCGGAGACCTGGTCCCTGGAGGAAATCTCCCTAGGCGCGGGAGAGTGCGAGAAGGAGCGGGCGCTGGCAGGAAGGATGCTTGGGGAGGAAGGTGAGATCGGAGGGAGGACGGAGACAAGTCACCAGAGGAAGAGAGGAAGAGGGAATGACCCACTGCGCTCTCTCTCTCTCTCTCTCTCTCTCTCTCTCTCTCTCTCTCTCTCTCTCTCTCTCTCCTCCCCCGCTTCTTCCACACAGTCTGTCTCCCAATCTAGCCTCAGACCCGAGTCCACTCATGTACCTGTCACCGGAGCAGCGCCATCAGCGTTGCCTGGCACTCGCGATGTCGCCCCAGCTGCCTGTCGCACTCCCTCCCCACAGCGTAAGCGCTCGCTGGTGGGCTCCGCAGAGTGCAGGCTGCAAAGCTGGAGTGTGAGGACTTCTTTCCCCAGCCTCTGGGCGCTAGGGTGGCCAGGGAGGATGGGTCATCTCAGTAGTGAGGGGTGGGGACGGCGGCGTAGGGGAGGGATGCTTCAGCAGCAGAACCCTAGTTTTTCTTCTTTAAGAAGTCAAGCTGGTGGAGACAAAAAGCTAGAGTGCCTGACTCAATGGAGAAAGAAGGGTAGAGGGAAAAACAGAAGCTGGATTTTGTTTTCAGATCCGAGGAGACAGTGCGCACCTGGGAAGAGTCTCAAGCAATCCTAGAACACACTACCATGTTAGCCAGGGCTATAAGCCCAGGAATGTGGTCCTTGCCCAAGGTCATATAGCATGCCTGGCTCACTCAGCAAGTGTGTGGAGGAAAGATGAGGGAACCATGCTGCCCTGAATCTCAATGCTTGGAGCGGGTGTGGACCAGGGTCGTGCTGGATAGGGAGAGTCACCTTTGCCTGGTGCAAACCAGGGGTGCTGCAGGGAACAGAGGGGAAGATATAGGTGACAAGTGCCAGGGCAGAAGCAGAGGGGCTGTCAGGCTGGCACGTGTCCACGGGGCACAGTAAACTTTTTTAAAAAGCATGATTAAAAGAGGTCAGCTATTTAGAAATTGTGATTCCTTCCGGTAAAGTCTCCAATCTTTGGAACTTTAGTTTGCTGTTGTTGCTTTTTATTTTTGTTGTTGTTGTTTTTTTTTAAATATTTTACTTAGTTTTCTTTTATGTGTATGAGTGTATTGCCTGCGTGTATGAAAGTGCACCCGTGTCGTGCAATGCCCGCAGAGGTCAGAAGGGGTCTTCAAATCCACTGGAACTGGAGTTATGGACTGTTAGCCACTATGTGGGTGCTGGAAATAGAACCCAGGTCCCCTGCAAGAGCAGCCAGTGCGCTCAACTGATGAGCCATCTCCTCAGCCAGCCCATGTTGTTGCTTTTTGAGCTATGAGATGGAAGGACAAAGAAGCCAAGTGTTGGAGACTTGCATGAGCCATTCAAGAAATAAATAAGAGATGATGGGGCTTCTGGGGAGAGAAGTAGCACCTAGCCGGAATGGGTTGCAGGCTACCCCTGTACTAACAAAGTGACTCCCCTGTACTCGGCCTGTGCAACTGCTGTCTAGAACTGAGGATCCACACCTGAAGACTCGAGATGTGGAGAGGAAGAACTCCAAGCCCCTTCCCCGAGACCCGCAGCTCCAGGAACGTGTTCAGCACCACGGCTAGCGCCCAGGCCCCTTCTGCACTGCCGCCGCCTCCTCTGTCCACTCCTTCCCTGCTCAGCTGTGACATGCAGCACCACAACACAGGTCAGAGGTTAAGCCCCAATCTTACCACAGCTGACAGCGTCCATCTACCCCTGGATAAAATAATCTATTCACTACATAAGAGAGTTTTCTGCTTACCAGAGGGCTCCCACACAGGACTTTGGTTAAACTGTTTACACCACCTCTATTACCTAAGTTGTTAGTGTGCAAACGTCCATAAGACAGGAAACTGGGTGTGTGCACATGTGCCTGAGAGATTCACAGTGACAGCCTGCTTTAGAGAAGGCTGATGCATTTTTACCTGTAAGTGCATACACAGTGGCTTGGTTACACACATGTATTACAGACATTAAACCATGTTCACTTTTTAAACTCTCCTTCAGGGTTGGAGAGATGGTTCAGTGGGTAGCCTGAGGAGCTGAGTTCGATACCTTAAACACTTAGGTGGAAGGAGAGAACCACTTCCCACAAGTTGTCCTCTGACCTCTACAAGCATGTTGTGGTACACACACACCCTTACACACAAACAGACAAACAAATAAACAAATAAATATTTTTAAGCTACTTCAGGTCTGGTAATATGACTCCGTAAATAAAGGCGTTTACAACTAAGAGACCCAGTTACTAAATGCTATTCCTTGTTCTCGACTAAATAAAAGACTACCAATGAGGACATTATTGTGTCAACGGATACATTTAGATAAGAGGATCAAAAGCTATAGAATCATTAAATTAATGTCAAGTTTACTTGAGCTTGGTAGCTCTGTGGAAAAGAATAGTTTGATTCTTAGAAGTACACATTCAGCCATAATATATGCAACTTACTTTCAATTGTTACTGAAAAGTCATGTGTGATTGTCTATGTCAGTAAACACAGCAAGTGACAAAGCAAGGGCACAAAATGTTAGTAAGAGTTGAATATGGGGCTCAGTTATAAGCGCACTTGCACTGCAAGCATGAAGACCTGAGTTTGAATCCCTAGCAGCTACATAGACAGCAGTGCATGGCTGTTCATGCACGTAACCCCAGCATGGGTCAGAGACAGAAGATCCTGAGAGCCTGCTGGCCCACTAGGCTAGCCCAAAGTGCAAGCTTCCAGGTTAGTGAGAGACTCGGTCTCAAGGCAACGAGGAAAGAAACAGAAGGAGACACTCAATGTCCTGCTCTGGCCTCTGCATGTGCACACATGAGCACACAGACCTACACACTCATGTGCATACACCACACACACAAAGCACACATATACACATCACATGTATAGACCACACGTGTATGGGCATGTACTCACGTACACAAGCACTTGAATCCAGAAGACGGTAAAATAATTTCCTTTGTAATATTCTCAGTACTTTTCTGTAAGTCTGAAATCATTTCTAAATAAGATGTCTGAAAGTCATGTTTGTGTAGATACTTCCGATTCAATTTCCAATTATACACTTAACTTCATCGATTTTGTATTTATATTGAGCAAATTGGTTCCTAACAACATAAACATAATTACTTAACTTGTTAATATAATATGTATTAACTTATTTCACTCTAATAACATCAAATCACTAATAAAATTGATAAATGAAAGTCTGAGATCTTCTTGCAATTCTCTTTTGTCCTTATAGTAAATATGTCTTATTGTGTGCTCAACTATTCTGTCCTAAAGTTACGTGGGTTAATGCTTTTTTATGTGTGACAGTGTTATCACTTTAATGTATAATGCATTCCTTCCAGTTAATTTCAACTTCAGGAATTATTTTTTAATTTAACTTTCCTTTTAAATATATAATACATTTACACTATTCAACAGAACTTTGAAATAAAGCATGATTTAAATTTAAAATTCTAAATCAAAGTATATATTCAGGAAAATGTTTCTTTTCATACTCTCCGATAGATACCAGTAAAAAAAATCTTAACTTTTCAGTAATGTTTAGGACACAAAATTAGCATACAAGGGCTGGAGCAATGTCTCAGTGGTTAAGATCACTGGCTGCTCTTGCACAGGATCTGGATTCGGTTCCCAGCACCCACATGGTGGCTAACAACCATCTGTAACTCCATTTCCAGGGGATCCAATGCCCTTTTCTGGCCCTTGTGGACACTTCACACAGGGAGTGCACATACATACATGCAAGCACTCACGCACATAAAATAAATAAAGCCTTAAAAAAAAAACTTCAAAATAGGGATAGAGAGGTGGTTCAGCAGTTAAAAGCATATACTGCTCTTCCAGAGGACCTGAGTTCAACTCCCAGCAACTCACAATGACTCACAACTGACTGTAAGCCTAGCTTCTGAAGGATCTGATGCCTCTGGTTTCTGTGGGCACCTGAACTCAGGTGCACATGCACATATACACAGACATGTACATATCCATGTAATTAACAATAAAAATAAATAAAACTGAAAAATTAAAAATTTTCATACAAACCAGCAGCATTCTATACAGAAAAATAAACTTGCCAAAAAAAAATTCAAGAAAGCAAAGCCATTCATAACAGCAGGAATACAGAAATAAATTCATTTATTTACTTATTTATTTCCAATACAGTTTTATTTCAAATAGTTATGAAAATGAAGTGTTTAGGAAGAAATTTATTAATTTAATTGCTAATTTTTGAGACAAAGTATATACTGAGGCTAGTTTTGAACTCACTACCCACCTGCCTCAGATTCTCAAGCTCTAGGATTACAGATGTATACCACAGTACTGGCTAAAAATAAGTTTAACCAAGGAAGTGAAATGTCTCTACAATGAAACTATAAAGTTATGAAAAAAAAATACAAAGGCATTTCTTATTTTTGAAACAGTAAAACTAATACTGTTGAAATGTCCATATTACCCCCAAACAATCCATATAATCAATGGTACCTTTCACGGAAATATATAAAATAGTCCTAAAATTCATGTGAGACCACAGTAGATCCAAAATAGATACAGCACTCTTGAGGGGGAAAGCTGGGATCATCACCAGATCAGAGTTTGGAGCACACTATAGAGCCTGAGGGTGTAACCCAGTGGCAGAGCTCTTGTCTACTGTACACAAGGCCCTGGGTTGATATCAGTAACTCAGAAGGAAAACAAAACCACTACAAAATTGTGAAAACCAAACAGCCTTGTACTGGCATAAAAAAAGATACATAAATCAGTGGAATAAACAAAAAATCTAGAAATTGACCAAGAACATAGAGTGAAGAACGGATAATGTGGTGTCTTCAACACTGGACACACATGTGCATACCTGGACACACATATGTATATAGAAGAACAAAACTAGAACCCATCCTCTCCTGTACACAAAAATCATCTCAAAATGGTCAAAGATCTAAATATAAGACTTGAAAT